CCGTGTTCGGCAGCCGGGCGGCGCGGGGGGCTGCTCCGCGCCGGAGTGGCTTCGCTGCGGTCAGCTTGCGGGGCCCGTTCGCCTGAGGAAGGGGGAGATCTCACCGGTGTCGCCCCTGCCCAGCCCCTGCTATCAGCCAGAGGGAAGCGCCGCTTCTCAGCGGCTTTCCTCAGAACCGGCCTCGAGAGCCGGCGTGAAGAGCTGCAGCCGCCCCGCTGCACAGGGGGGGCCGTGCGCGGAGACACCGCTGTGCTGCTGAGGGGAGCTCCCGCCTGGTGCTGAGCGCTGGGTAGCTGTAAAAACCTACCCGTGCCTAGCTTCTGTGCAGCCCTGCTTTAATACAAGGGCTCTCTTTATTTAGAGAAGGCGCTTAGATCTCAGTTGAGAGATGTTAATGACCTACATGTAAATAGCAGGCACTTTCATTTCGAAACACTGAAATAATTGCATCTTCCACGCTGTCTCTGGAGTCACTTTGCGGAGCTGGACCTGGCCCTACAGTCTAACGCACTCGGTTGTGCCTTTCCTGTGTGAGCAGAAGGATCTGTTTATATGATTGCTGTTGCAGCATAAAGGTCACTTAAACCCGGGGACAGACTGTGAAGTGGAAGGACAAGTATTTCGGAACTTTTTCAAAAGCGTAAGGGGAGGGGACTTAAAACATGCCTGACAGGATGCCCTGAAATGAAACTTGATTTTCTTGCAATCAAAGTGTTGCCACAAAATATTTATGTGTTTATGTATATCAGAGAATTGCAGCTCTCTGTGATGGAGTGTTTAAAAGACTGATGAATCAAACCACTTTACTAAACTGATGTACATCAACAATACAGATTTCCATTTGTTAGTTCTTAATTACCATCAGTCATTATCACTGGATTTTCCAAACAGTTCTTAACCTCCGTAAGTGGTAGTAAACCTAGGTGTATACAATGCCATGGAGCTGATGCCCTGTATTTAGTGCTCATGACTACAATTCTTCATAGTCTCAGTTGCCGAGGTAAAGCGCTTGGGAGCTCTTTGGCAAGAGAAGCTGGAATTGAAGTGAGCGTTTTGTGATTTTCATAAATTACAGTGTTTCTTTTTTTATTGTTAGTGTTTCATGCACCTTGCTGCCTCCCTGGAAGAAAATGGGGTGTTCTTATCTGCCTTTGACATAGTTCACATTATTTTGGGGAGTAAGACTCTACCCTAGTTTTGCTAAGCATCTTTCTTATGCCTGATGGAACCAGAATAATCTCAAAATAAATATCTCCTCTTTGTTCTGCAGGTTTATTTCAGTTTCACCTGACATCTTCCCTGGCCACTCCACGCCCTTTGTGTGTGTTTACTTCTTGCATGTGTTTTCCTGTGCACTGTTTGGGAAGGTATACTGCAAGTCTCTGTCCATTTGCACTTATGTGTTCTTTATATACCTATGCATAGCTGTGTTATAAAATACTACTAGTAGTGTTACAATGTTAGAAAATGCTTATGCACTGTTATCAATTACCATACTTTAGTGTGCTTGTGTCTGGGTTTAAGGCAAGGAAATAATAAGTATCTTGCGTACTCTGCATCTGCCTTATGGGTGCGGCAGGCCTCTGGCTACAAAGTGCGTTCTTGAATTTTCTGGAGCTGTCATTGGACCTGTCTCTCGTTAAAGAAATTTCCTTCTGGCATCTCTTGCATCCTAGGGTCATGTATTATCAGTGTCACTGTCAGGCTTTTAAAATTCAGTGAACTAGGTGTTTATGTTCTTGTTTACTAATGCTGACAAGGGCCAGAGTAAACAAACACTCTGTTACCCCCAAAAATAAATGCCAGAAAGGTGAATTTGTCTTTTCTCTAAAGCACTGGGTAGAGACCATGGACAGATACATTCTCTGGAGTAAACTCCTGTTATTCTGCAGGAGACACTTGCTAGATTCCCAGGTGAAAGTACTGCTCCAACTTAGTACTTGGAGAAAACCTTGCACAGAAGGTGGAATTTTAACTGTTGTATCTAGGAAAGAAGCTTAACCAGGAGGCTAAACAGTGGGATGAAGTCAATGGAATTACGTGTTTTCTACCGTGTATCGTGTTTCCTGCGCTCATGACAGAAAGCAATCAGCTTTCCCAGTGGTGAATAGAACAGACTTCAAACAAAAATCTACTAAAATATTATTTGCAGAGAAACTTAAAAGTAATTTGTAGTCTCCTGGTAGGAAAAAATGTTTGATTTTTTTTTTTCATTTTTTTTTTTAATTAAAAGTGATGGTTCTGTCCTATGAAAGTCAGCCTTCATTCAACAGTGACTTGTTTTGCACCACGGTAAACAATTTGTTTCTCTGCACAGCAAGTGCGCTTTATCCAGGATGGCTGACTAACAGTTAAGTGCTAAAAGAAGTAGGAAAGCTTCTGGTGCCCAAAGTCCGTCACCTCTTGCATTTAAAGTCATCTTATTTAGGTTGCTCATAAGTCAGTTTAAGGAGGCTTCTCAGTTTGATCTTCCAGTGCCAGAACACTTATCACTGGCTTGACATACTATAAAACATGTTGCATTTGCTGTATTGGCAGTCTCCAGTTCTTCAGCTTATTTGGGCATAACGTGAGCGACAGCTGATTTTAGCAGACTTATTCATGCTTCATTCTTGTGGTCGGGAGTCATTCCAATTCACCTGGGTACAGCAACTGGCTGTGCTAGATTCTTACTTCATGGTATAAGCTTTCCTTGCTATATGTAACTTGACAGGGTTTATTGCACTGAGAGCACAAGGGGAAAGACACAATGTATGTGTGAGGAGGAGGAAAAGAATATTTCTCCCCTCTTCTTATTTTATCTAAAACACAGCACTGTACCAGCTACTAGGAAGAAAATCAACTCTATCCCAGCCCAAACCAGGGCACTCTTTATCTGGACGATAATGCCAGACTATCTTTTAACTGAATCCCACTCAGTATCCTGTGCGAATACACCAAATTAATGACCAACTTGACAATGTTTTTCCTCTGTCTTGCTATATTCCTCTTCCTCTGTAGTGTAAATCTTCTAAAAGCAATTTTTTTCTTGTCTTTCCCAGCTAAGGACATTCTGCGTTTCTGTCTCTGTCTATTTCCATACGATATGTGTGTGTTATAAATAAAAATAAAGGTAAGAACAAAGGAAATACTTCTTTACAGAGTAACTAGCACAACCTATTCTAGACTCATTGTCAGATGCTTTTTTTCTACAAAAGGATCAAACTGAGTATTGGTAAACTCCTTATGAAATTGCTTGCCCAGTGTTACTAACGATCTGATTCTGACTGGTTGATAAATTGACAGTGATTTACTTCTGCACTGGATGGACTACAGTTAGACTGTAATCTCAGCCATGTGACCAGAGCTCCAGAAGTAGATCAGCATATTCAAGAACTCCTGGGTTAGAAATGGGTTTAGCCCATCAGCTCTTTAGATGTTAAAATCTACCCCCATGCTTTTGTTCTCTACTGAATTTAAATGGCTTATGTGATTAAAAAATAGCATTAAAAATAGGACATCAGTTATGAAAAATTAAGCGTCCAAAAATCCTGTGTAATTGCACTTTAGGCACTGTATGCAAGAGGTACGTGTCTAAGTCCTAGGCAGAAATCTAACAACCAGAAGTAGTGAGCCCTTGACCTTCTGTTCTGGTCCTGCCCACACGAAACTGTTATGGTCTTTTATTTTTGACCATGCTGAATTTGCAGCACACCTATATTCCACCTGGGTATTGCATGGGTATGTAGCTCTTTGAGTTGTGGGTTGGTGGTGTTTGTTTTTTTTCAAGCCTGGGATAGTGGAAATGTCATTAAATTTGTCTTGTTTCACAGTGATTAGAGTACTTGTCTGGAGATTAAGAGACCTGGATTAAAAATTAATACCCTGGGGTTACTCTCCTCTTCCCTCTGCCCTCCTAGACCTGGACTGCTGTGTAGCCAGGAACGCAGGGCTGGCTGGGTGAGGAGTGAAGTCGGGAGAGAGTGAGCTTGATTTGTCATGCGGTGGCCTGACTAAGAGAAAGTAGACCTGGGTTCTTGTTTCTGCTTGCAAGGTTGTGACATTGCTTTAAACTAATAGTGGTGAGATGAGGGGTTTAATCCTTGGCAGTGCAGCCATAGCAATGGTTAAAAGTGAACCAAGTGAAGTCTTCAGAGACTGTCATATATTTTTGGTAAACAAGGGGGTGTGAGTGAATTCTCTTGGGTTAAGTGGTTTTGGGGACTCTGGTTTTGGCTGCTTCCTGAATATGTGTTGTGGCCATTGGGCAAGAGAGAGCTAACACATTGCATAGCTATGCTCTTAAAGAATGAGCCACTCCTGCAAAACTAAATACCTGTTCAGGGACAGGCATTAAACTCCAAACCCCAGCCTCTCAAACTCTAAACTCCTGATTTTTCTACCTGTGTCTGAGAAACAATTTCAGTCACAACCTCCCTCTTCTTTCCTATCCCTGTGCTATTCAGCAGCATTTGTAGGGCAAAACCTGTTGACGTGGTGTGATTTGACACCACACCTCATCCAGTGCAACTTCAGGCTGCTGCAGAAACTGCTCCCTGCTCCTCGGTTCTCATGTGTAGCAACCAGATTTAGTTCTCACCCTGCCCTTTTAGGCTCCTTGCATCACAGCACACCTTGCTTTGCGGTGTCCGAGTGCTCTGTTTGGATCTGGCCATAAGTATTCAGTGAAACTGGTACCAGTCAGGCAAAAGACTGGGTTTTGCGTGATGTAGCCCAGCCCAGCCAGTGCAAACAATCTCGTTGAGTGAAGTTTTCATGGCTGATAGACTTCCTGTTATTCGTGCAATTTAATATCACTATTAAGGAGGACTGACGTTGCTGCTTGCTGGTTTCAGCTTAGCCAGAATGAACCAGCTATCAGACGGAATATTCCAATTAGGCGGCTAGAGTAAGCTTTTTAAAATGTATGTATTAAAATAATGGCAATAACCCTAAAATAAAAACTTCATTGTAAAGGTTAAGTTACACCTGGTGACTGAGATGGGACCTGATTCTGACTGTCCTATCTGCAGACAGTAGGCTAGCTTTTTTTTTTTTTAACCATTTTGATTTTTAACTTACCTGGAAACTGCCAAAGTGCTTTTTTTCTCCCACCTCCCTTCTTAGCTTGCTTATTGTTTCTGTGACTGCAGGACTCCTCAAGAACATTCTCTTTCCTCTGGCACCTGATTTCTGCTGGTAATTGGATGCTCTGTAAGGCCCTGTTTTCGGATAGGTGTGTGCCTCAGTTACTGTAGCTTGCGTCAATTGATCCGGTCCTTGCTTTCTTAGTGGCCTTCAGATTATATCAGTTATTAGGTGGGTAATTTTAACCTTAACAGCTTGCACAAGTGAGTGTCTAAGGTCAGTGGTTAATCAGTTATCTTGTAAGAGAGGACAGCCAAAGGGCTTGTGTGCACACTAGTAACCACAGAGCTATAGTTATAACAGCAAGGTTGGTAGCTGAAAAATAGGGGGGCTGCTTACCTTAGACAAGTAAGGGATGATTTTGTTTCCCGCAGCTACTTGTTTATATAGTTAATTGTGTCTGAGAACGGTGGAGTGCCTTTTACAATGTTCTGTGTGATCTCAGTTTTGTACTGGGTTACAGGCAAAGCTGCTCTGGTGAAGCTGAGATCAGTGGCCTCCCTCAGGGGAGGCACAAATGTTGCCCTCTTGATTTGGCAGTTTTGTGCTCAACCTGTACCACAAAGCCATGTTGTGCATCCTCCTGAAGAGGTAATGTACTATCACCAGTGACCTGAGCAGTTGGCTGTGACAGTGCTTTAAAGCAGATCAAAGTGATGCATAAAAGGGTGCAACTTACTAACTCACAGGTTCCTAGTTCTACAAACATAGTGGAGGAAAATCAGTCTGCCAGTGATGGTGCCTGTCCTTGCTCAACTAGCTCATTGCCTTGATACGAAAGAAGAGTGAGAGTGGGGACTCTTAAACTCACAGGGATGCCACAGATACTGACTAATGGACTCCCATAACAATGGGATAAAAATCACCCAGAGATGTCATGTGGACAGGCTTTGAAATTAACCTTTTTGAAAGTTTCTTCAGAAGCTGTATACTTAAGAGTCTTCCAATTAGTGTCCGAGACTGAAACTGCTCTACAAAATGCCTTGCTGTCAGCCCAACAGGGTGAGCATTAGTCTGAGTAAGTATTTGAATGCACACCCATGTTTGCTGTTTGTAACACGAATTAGTAAAGTCCTCTTGTTAGAAAACCTGAATTAACAAAGAGTCAGAACTACAGAGTGACTGTGCAAACTGCAGCTCAGTTCTTTGCTTTCTTATAGAAAAGGTTATCTAACCAAGATGCAGGAAGTGTGTCACTTCCCAGCAGCCACTGATAGGAAATACTTCTTAATTAGCTGCA